AAGGGTTAAAGTTCTCATCCCATAGAATGCTCCTCCTTGCATTGTACACCCTGCCCTCCTCCCCTCCCTCGGCTTCTGATTGGCTGGCTGAAGCCAAGTCTTTGAAGTAGTGTTGAGAGGACTGGGCTGGGTCTAACAGGCAGAGCCTTGCAGCCAGCTGGAGGGAAGGGAGCACAAGGGGAATCTCAGCACCCTGGACATCCCTCCTCCAAATGAACTGTTCTCCCCTTGGATCTAGCACAGAGCCAGAGTCAGAGAGCTGTACTTCTCACGCAGCCTACCCATCTCTAGCACCCACTCACCCTCTTCGGCAAGCCAACAGACTGCCCATCAGGGTGCTCAAAATGCTGACTGCACATACAGGACATTTACTGCACCCGGAATACTTGCAGCCTCTATCCTCCACCCCTGTCAGCCCTATAGAGGTAAGCAGAGATTGCGGAACACCTTACCCCATAGGATCCTATCTGTATCCTCATTGGGGTCTAGTGGGTACTTTTCTTTTTCCACTGGGGATCAGGTCTATAATTTCTACTAGGCGGACTGCACTGGGTTGAAAGGAGTTATTTCTGTTAAAGGACCAAGGTCAGGTCTTGAGTCTGTCTATAAAATGAGTTTCAGCTTTCGTTCACCTCTAAAGTGTCTCTGTGATGTCTGTCTCAGATCATGGATTAACAATGGCTTTTAATGTGTGTTTTTACATTATCTGATAGTGTTGCGTGCTTTTTTTTTTACCCTTCTCTGCACTCCTCTGGAGAGGTTTCTCTGGGATAACGGGGTGTTGACAGCTGTCTCTTATTCTTAAAGAATGGCATAATTCTTATCTCTCGTGTTCTCTAATCTGATATGGAATCACAAGTATACACACACCCAGTGATGTTTGAGTAATAGCAAACGCTCCCTTTCATTTCAAGGAGTGCCCTGTTTGCATTTTTCCACTTTGAATTATTCCCCTGTCTGTCCATAGACCAGCAATGGTTTATTGTCCAGTCTTAGAATCTCAGAGCTCAAAACCCTGTTATTTTTCAGTCTCCTATTTTGTATTCTTTATGTTCTTTTCAGGACTGCTCCAATTACTCATTCCCTCAATCTCTCTCTTCTCTCACTCCATTTTAAGTAGATTTATTAGCCTAGTTTGTTATTTGATGTTATAAGGTTGTAACAGAGTAAAAGATCAATATGCCTCTTGTTTTAAAAGGATTTCTCCCAGCCTCCTGCTCTCCACAGTTTATAGTATAGGTTTTATTACAGAATAAAAATGTTGGAACTTTATTTGTTTTGAAAGAATAACAATTCCCTGTCCACCAGCTTTTAAATTTATCCTTTTAATAGGATCCTGGCCCATTACGTAAATAGAGTTGGAACTGAAAGAAATTCTTAACGAGGTTTCGTTTTTAAAATGGTCTCCCGAGCTTTCCCTGTGATATTTTATTTCTTTTTACCCACTTTTAAAAATGTAATTATATATTTTAGGCTTTTTTCCCCTCTCCCCTTACAGTTTCCCTAACCCATACCCCCCTCCACCTCTCTCCAGTCAGTTCCAGGACTCCTATCATTAATCATTGTGTGGCAGTCTCTAATGATAAAGTTTCACTAGATTTATGGCTTGGAAATGAAAGCTGGGTTCTGTTCAATAGGAGCAAAGAGAGAGAGAGAGGGGGGGAGTAAGGGGGGTGTAAAAATAATAGAGGTTTAATCATTCTTTTTTTCCTTCTTTGTTGTCAGGTTTTGTCACCTCAAATCTAAATTAATTACCTTTAGGGTAATAAGAAATAATTGTTAACTGTTTCCCTGAAAGAGTTTTCTGTCTTTAGCCCAAAGACTTAAGTGATAAGATTTGATATAGAATAGGGTACGTGGTCTACACAAGTTATTCTACAGACAGTCGGCATTTATGGCATTTTTAAATATAGATATTCTCAATTATAGATCCATCGTGTTGTGGTTTACAAACATTCCCTTTTTCGATACCTATGATGACTATTCTGTTCTTGTGGGCTTGCAATATTTATTTTGAAATCTTTTATAATAAACTTATTCTACTGTTTAATTATTGTCTTGGCACACATTTAGTTTCAAATATAAAATTGAATATGTTAATTATTTGGAGCGCATTGCAGTGTCTGTTTCTTTCTAACCGGAGATTTTCCTTATCTGCTCTTTTTCTAGTTGGATGCCAAAAAAAGCCCCCTCGCGTTGCTGGCCCAGACCTGTTCTCAGATTGGAAAGCCAGATCCTCCTCCATCCTCAAAGTTGAACTCTGTGACTTCCAGCGGGCTGAATGAAAAGGAAAGTGGCCGATCATCCTCACTGAAGCTTGGAGAGTCACCTCTAGAGGATAAATCCAGTTTCAAGCCTTACTCAAAGGGTGGGGAAAGCAGGAAAGAAAGTGGATCATCAACCAGCAGCTCTTCAGACAAAGCTGGATTTAGAGTTCCAAATGGTTCTTGCCAACCTTTCCCTCCTCATGCACCATCACCATCTTCAAGGGTAAGCTCACCTGGACAGCACTGTGACTCAAAAAGTAGTGAAACTCAAGAGAAGAAGGAGCCCGAAATCATCAAAATCACTTCTGAGGGATCTCAAGGCAACCCCAACCTAACAAGAGTTAGCACCAGCAACTCCAGTGCCGAATCCAGCCAAAGTGGAGATGTTACTCCCAGCAGCAAGTCTGAGCCCCCTTCTCATGGACCTGGACATGTTGCCCCGGTTTCTCCCTATAAACCAGGACACTCTGTTTTCCCTCTTCCACCATCTGGCATTGGATACCATGGATCCATTGTGGGTGCATATGCTGGATACCCATCCCAGTTTGTTTCTGGGTTGGATCACACCAAATCAAGCCTGGTTGGTAATCAGCTAGCTGGGACTTTAGGTTTGCCAGGGAAACCTCCTAGTTCAAGCCCTATGACTGGTGCCTCTCCTCCTTCTTTCATGCAAGGATTGTGCAGGGACCCATACTGTTTGAGCTACCACAACCCTTCCCACCTTGGCTCAAGCAGCTGTTCCACCTGTGTTCACGATCCATCAGCGTTAAAGTCAGGATACCCTCTAGTTTATCCAAGTCATCCTCTTCATTCAGTGCACACCACCATGTCTTCCAGTGTCACCCCTTCATTGTCTGGGCACCCTCTCTATACCTATGGCTTTATGCTCCCTAACGATCCAGTCCCCCACATATGCAACTGGGTGTCTGCATCTGGACCTTGTGACAAAAGGTTTTCCTCCTCAGAAGAACTACTTTCTCACTTAAGGACACACACAACTTTACCCGGGGCTGACAAACTTTTGGCTGGGTACCCCACATCTGGTTTGGGTTCTGCTGCGTCTTGCCACCTCCACCTTCCTCCCACTGGGCCTGGAAGCCCTAACACTTTGCCGGGATCTCTGTCATTACGGAGTCCACACACTTTGGGACTAAGCAGGTACCACCCATATGGGAAAACCCACCTGACAACACCCAGTGGTCTCCCAATGCCCTCTTTACCAGCAGGAACATACTACTCCCCATACGCTCTATATGGACAGAGATTAACGTCAGCTTCTGCGCTAGGATATCAGTAAATAGATCCCCAAAACATAGACTGTATATTTATTTACTGTATGTTAGCTTCAAGCTGGGAATATTAAGTGCATTATTTACAACAATTCAATGGTATGCAAACATTCTGTGCCCCCTCAAAACTCTATTCTTTCTCATTAACAGTCTGTTTTCCATTTGAGCTTTCTTTTATTTTCTACGTTTTCTTTTCTTTCTTTTTGCACGATAACCATCACTTACTCTGTTCTTTTCTTGTCCCTTTTGAAGGTTAAAAAAAAAAAAAAAAATACTCAACCTCATTTTGATTTTGTACAGTTCAAAGGAAGTGTATTTTTTGTAATGTGTCTTACGGCATGGTGGGAGTGGGTTGGGAGCAGAGAGAGAAGGAAGCAAAATACTTTGATGGCTATCCAAAATTGGCAAATCTTATTTTGTTAATAAATGAAAACTTAATTATACATCCTGTGTTCTTTTAAATGACATCTAATTTTATTTCCCTTATTTCGTAATAAGATATTTTTTAATGGGTTTACTTGCTAATATTACATTGGAAAAAAAAAAAAAACTCAATGCCAAAGCATTCAATAGTACAATATCTGGAATGTATTGATTATAATAAACATTGTTTTTTTGCTATTAAATATTTCCAGATTGTTTATGCTTTTAATAACTGAACAGAATATTATTCATATAAAGTAAAGTTAGGCTGCCATCTGCTGGTCTTCAAAGGGTACAGTACATCATCTTTGATTTAGAGAAGCCGTTTCTTATTTCTAATTTCAGAAATATAATTAAGACTATGAGGACCAATCAAATGGTAAGAAACACTGTTTTTAAATGGAGTTTAAATTTTGTTTCCATGCTAATGAACCCTGTGTTTACTGACTTTGGACTTTGAAATGTAGTTTAAAGTGTACATCACTTAAAATTAATTTTTTTTAAATATTTTTTTTACAGCAATATTAAGGCTACATATTGTAACATGTGGTAGGTTCTGTGGAAAATAGTCCACAGGCATTTTTTAAAATGTCTTGATTAAAGTAAATTATTTTTGCTGTTTAAAAGAAAATTAGGTAATTTATCTGGAAGACTTAAGTGGCCAAGAATTGACAATGATCCAAGGAGAAATAGTAAATGAATTAGTGGATAATACTGTAAAAATATTGTAGTATTTTATATATTATATTTATTGTGTTGATCGCATTGTGCCTATAATCTGAACTAGATATCAGCTGCCATTATCCTGACCATTAAATATTTAATGGTTCACAGATGAAACTACTACATTACTTGCAAGAAAGTAGGCTATTTCTATGGTGTAATTTCATTTTATTTATAATTTTATAAAAATATATATATTTATTATTTTTTTAAGCTGGGTGAATTTTATTCCTGCTGTTTAAACAGCAATCCATCGCATAAAGCACTGTCAGTGAATGTGTTCCAAGGCAATCATAAACCACTCTTCTGGCAATTTTCAGGAGGTGGTAACATGAATTCTCATTATTATATTTATAAAGCGCCAACAGATTCTGCAGCGCTGTACAATTAGTGGAGAACATACAATATACACAGACAAATACAAAAGGTAGAGAGGGCCCTGCCCGTAAGATGAGATCTAGCCATTTAAGCTCTTTTATACGCAGTGCATTGCTAGATAGCCTATGAGCTTACAATCTAAAGGATACCATGGGGATTTGAGACAAGAGGTAGCAGGGGGGAAGAGAGATTATAAAGAGTGAGTTATTTTCATATGAGATCGCAATTGTTCTAGAACTTTTTCTTTAAATCAATTCGGATTACTAATGTTACTCTCTGAGATATTTTTAATTTCTACTCAATTACAAGCCGCACAACTTTCAATACCTGTCCATGTACACAGGGCCTTAGATGCAAGCCATACCTGAATATTTTAATGTGCTTAATATCGAAGTACAAGAACATTACAGTGCTGTCTGCGTAAAAAACAATTTTAACCGCACAAGCCTCACTCTTCAATGCAAATATTGGTGTTATAAGAAATAATTTGGTGAGGACTTGTATTTAAGCTGGGATTAGTTTGAGGACCAAATAACCTATAGGACGCAGTGAATGCAGGGCAAAGCAAAAACAAAAGGTATTTATTCGCTTAACCACGAATTGTTGTAAACTGACAAATGTAGGCCAAAAAAGCTATCTTGGACACATTTTTAGTGAACAAGTCACAAAATAATATGTGTGAGCCAGAAAAGTGGTTCTGGAAGAAATTTTTATATACAACGCCCTAACACATTAAATGTATACATTTGCATCAATACAGACTTTTTTTTTTTAGATTCTATATATTTAAGTCGAGTTACTGATGGGATTAATGGGTAATTTTGTTTATTATTTATTTATTGTATTTTATGCGTTGAGCAATAGTTTGTGTAGACAGAGCGCCCTCATCTGGCCTGGTCATGCCTGTTGCGAATGTGTTGCATGTATGCTGAATAGAGGAACAAGAATTAATAGCATATATAAAACCCGCACAAGATTATTATCTTCACCAAACTATGTACAGATTTAATCTGGTCAAAACAACTGAAGATTAAACTTAAAAAAAAAAAAAGTACTTAACTTTCAGGCTTATTTACTGAAGTGAGAATTAAAAGGGAATTTCAAATGTAAATCAAAATAGCCTAAACTGGAGACATTATCAGCTTTCACTTCAGCTACTCTGATCTAAAATATAAAATTCACTTTGAAATCTGACTTTAGGAATAACTCTTCATGTTCCAATATCACACAGTAAACCTTAAGTGTCATTGTATGCTCAGATATGTCAACTGTGGAAAGGTGCCTTATTTATGCACTTCTATAAATTTTCGGTGACATTAATGCATTGATATACTGAAAGACATCATTGTTAAAACGGATGGAGGCTAAAATTGATTGCTTGTAATTTATTCCGGATCTGCTGAGAGGAGTAGTTGGACAGCTACAGCATTCTTCATTTTCTGGAAGCTCCTATCTCTTCCAGATGCACTGAAGAAAATTATAGAGATTTCTAAAATGTCCCTGAAAGAATTGGCCAAACTAGTTTTTTTTTTTGCGTGAAACGATTAACCATTTTATCTGATATTTGTAATATGGCAGGCAGTGTGCAATTTTGGTGTTCTTGATATCACAAGGTCACTTGCAAATTCTATATACAGATAAATAATATAACTTAAATTATTTATTTATTTTATTAATCGCGCACGGACGTAGACCTTGGCCTATTATGTAAAGTCTGCAAAATTGACGTGCCTGGACTATTTTTCTAAACAGAATTGTGGACATAAAGACAATGCATGGACGTCAGAAGAAGAATGAATTGTACTCGAAAGTGAGTGGGAGCTGATTATGGATTATTAAAGCAAATGCTGAGGCAGTTGATGAATGAAGGCAGGATATGAAGTAGACCCATTTAAAAAGAAAAAAAATGTGATTTTTGTTACGGATACTGTCGGGAGTAGGATTTTGTCTTTGCGGTGGTGAAGCAGAACTGGAATCATGTTATTTTTAGCTATTCTGTAAAACATACATAGACCCTGAAACACATTCAGAACAACTCAAAATTTTTATCCCTAAAATAAATGTGAAGCACTAATTAGATTTTACAAAAGTCTATGGGGTTTATTAACTAAACACCCAATTTACTAAATTGTAAAGCAGATTGCAAAATAGTTCAAAAGTCTAGCTGTGACTATAGTTGAGAAATTTCCTATCTCCACTATTTTTGTAAAAATTTAGCCGTTTTCTCTCCACTCCACTAACCCTTACGTCTCTTCTAAACATATAATACATTCTAGAAATATATGGAAGTGTAAGTGAAAACTATACATACTATATAAATATATTAAACTATGTTGTATTTTATTTCTTGGACGATATTCCTTTCGCACTGTAGAGTCCATTATGACTGCTGTTATGGTTTGAGAATCGCAGGACTCGGCTGAATGTGGTGTTGAATTTTCAGCTGCAAGGTTAAGTGATGAGTTCCAAATAGTTAATTCGGCTAATTCCGCATGGCAGTATGCCAAGGAAGTCTCTGATTGGCACATTGGCTGGGTAAATATTGGCAAACAGTAAATTTGTCTAGTACCTAAGAAGTACTATGGCCATGCTGCCAAAAGTTTAAGTCCCTGTCCCTCTTTATCCATTAGGGAATTACTGAACAGGTACTTAAGGTGCGACTTTACAATTGTGATTTATGTGATAGGCTCATTAATAAAACAAGTTAAATTATTTAAAACATGTATTTCAAAGATAATGTACAGAAGTTGGGTAAGGTTCCCCTGATAATAAAAACACACCACCATAATGGACATTATAATGAATGTATTTATACAGATTCAGGAATAAATGGGCAGGTTGGAAAATAGGACGGTGTATGATTCTGGAACTAATACCTGGACTTTGTCCAGAGAAAACCTAGGTGTGAGGGTAAATTGCCTCTACGGTGTTTAGATAGGGGCAAATAGCAAACAAACAATCACATGCTCTTATAAGCAAAGGAGGATTATTACATCTAATATGTTATACTATGTAGGGTCCATATATGGACTAGACTGTCTAGTCTTTATATAGACCCTACATAGTATAACACATCACATGTACTAATCCGTCTTTGCTTTAAACCTGCAAACATTAATGCAAATCATCCTCTAGTGTCTAGTCACTAGAAAATGATTAGCATCAATGTTTAGAGGTTTAATAAGGGTAATATTAATCTGTATCTGTGTAATGGCTATAGAAATTCCTCCGTTTTCATGTCATACACTCAGAGCCATGTAGAAACCATATGGGGCATTTGACCTTTGGTGTGAAGACTGGTGTGGATCTATCTGTAGTCCCTGTCCAGCAGTAAAATAGAACTAGGGTGACGTTGTAGTTGCATGAAAAAAGGTCTTTTCAAATAGGCTGTAGACAGATGAAGCTGGTAGAAGAAGAGTAATATTCTGGTTATGGAGGATGAAGGTGGAGGATGCCAGTGTGTGCATGCAGGCTGTTCATAGGTGTTTGTCTGTCTGTAAAGGCTGTTGGAGGGTGATGATCACTTTTTGGAGGGTTATATTGGTCTCTTCATGGAGGCTGGTGGAGGGTGATATTTGTCTCTTTATGGAGGGTCGTAAAGGGTGACATTGGAATCTCTGTGAAGGCTGGTAAAGGGTGATTTTGAGCGCTTTATGAAGGCTGGTGGAGGGTGAAATTGGGCCCTTTTATGGAGGCTGTTGGAGGGTGATAGGCGCTTTATGGAGGCTGTTGGAGGATGCTGGAGGGTGATATTGGGCACATTATGGAGGCTGGTGGAGGGTGATATTAGGTGCTTTATGGAGGATGGTGGAGGATGAAATTGGGCCCTTTATGGAGGCTGGTGGAGGGTGAAATTGGGCCCCTTTATGGAGGCTGGGGAAGGGTAATATTAGGTGCATTATATAGGCTGGTAGAGGGTGAAATTGGGCCACTTTATAGAGGCTGGTGGAGGGTGATATTAGGCACTTTATGGAGTCTGGTTGAGGGTGATATTGAGCACTTTGTGGAGGGTGATATTGAGCCATTTATGGAGGCTAGTGGAGGGTGATATCAGACACTTTATGGAGGTTGTTGGAGCGTGATAGTGGGCCCCTTTATGGAGGCTGGTGGAAGGTGATATGTGTCTCTTTATAGAGGCTGGTGGAGGGTGATTTGGGCACTTTATGGAGGCTGGTGGAGGGTGATATTGGGATCTCTGTGCAGGCTGATGGGGGATGATATTGGTCTCTTCATGGAGGCTGGTGGAGGGTGATATTTGTCTCATTATGGAGCATGGTGAAAGGTGATATTGGGATCTCTGTGAAGGCTGAAGGAGGATGATATTGGTCTCCTATGTATGGTGGTGGAGGGTGATATTTGGATCTCTGTGAAGGCTGGTGAAAGGTGATTTTGGATGCTTTATGGAGGCTGGTGGAGGATAAAATTGGGCCGTGGTGGAGGGTGATATTAGGTGCTTAATGGAGGGTGAAATCGGGCCCCTTTATGGAGGCTGGTGGAGGGTGAAATCGGGCCCCTTTATGGAGGCTGGTGGAGGGTGAAATTGGGCGCTTTATAAAGACTGGTGGAGGGTGATATTGGGCTCTTTATGGAGGCTGGTGGAGGATGAAATTTGGCGCTTTTTGGAGGCTGGTGCAGGGTGAAATTGGGCCCTTTATGGAGGCTGGTTTGCATATCAAGGCTGTAAGAGTCTGAACTAGATCTGTATGTGCAGGCAGCTATACTGGTGTGTCTATATAGTATATGGACAATCTGATTGCATTTAAGGACAGCTAGAGGGTGAGGTTAATATTATAGGCACCTGGTAGTTAAGCAGAGTCTGTGTGTATTATGCCTTTAAGGAAGGGTAAACTATTTAGTTATGGGGATGAGTTGGTTTATGAGCTGCTTTGATCTGTAAAATAACATGATTGAGAAAGACAAACCAATCCATGTGTGAAATTGACTGGTTTAAAAGGCCTAAGGCTCACTTTCCAAAGTAGGATCACAGGTTGTCAAGTGACAAAATAAGTAGTGTCAGACTTCTGTCATAGAGACCAAAGATAGGTCATTCATAGGCTTACTGTGTATACAGGTCAGTCAAAGATGGGACCAAAGAGTATTAACCCTTCATATGCCTTAAACCCAGGATTACCATATCGACCATGTTTTCAGGGTTAATATAATGTCATATTCATAAGAACGCATTAAATGGGTTGCCCTGCATTATGTATAAAGCATATTCTGCTGGATTCTTTATTGCTCAATTACTTAATCTGATTCACCTTCTGAATTATATACACTACAGGGCAGCCCTTTTAATGTGCTGTCCATCAACAGATAAACATGACATGTGTCCGTGAAAACATGGTGCATATGGTAACCCTACCTTAAACCAGCCAAGGCCAGTGATAGATAAGTCAGGTTCTCCTGTATAAACTACATGCATACCCATTGTATATAAATCGGTATAATTAACCCATCAACTGCTTTGCTTGGTATCAGGTAATCATATTAGACAGAAAAGAAGTGTGGGAACTGGAGTCCTCAGATTATTTAATAAGCTAAGTTATTATTACTGACAGTATGGATTTATCAGAAAATACTGTCTGTACTTTGGGAGAAGTGGTTGCTTTGAATATTTAGAATAGTTTTAATTCCATAAACTACAGAGAAAAATAAATATGTATATTTTTTATAATACAGTGTTTAATGATGTTTTTTTATTTCATTATTACATGGTTTATTCTGAACATATGTCATAATTGCAGAGGTGTCCCCCATCTTCTTTTAGTGTTGATAAACTAACGGTGGTCCATAGTAACTGCTACAAAAAATATATTTTAGCTCTATGCATTAGATTCACTTTAGAACGCCAGCATGCAAATACAGACCTGTGTATTATCAGCTCCACATATGTGCACTGACACATCTTATAAAACCGTAATGAACTTTTACATCACTGGAACCAGGGCTCGAGTCCTGCAGGCAGGGCCGGTGCAAGGATTTTTGCCGCCCTAGGCAAAAGTAAAGTTTGCCGCCCCTCACCCCCATGTGACATCACAATGCCCCACCCGTATAATCTGCCATGCTAACTAACACCAGTGCTGCGGTGCCACCGTGTTTACATTAAAAGGCCTGCAGGAACAGGTTATGGACACCAGAACCACTACATTAAGCTGCAGTGGTTTTGGGGACTATAGTGTTTCTTTAATGTGAGGTAAATTAGAGATTAGTGCCACGAATAATATACTAGATTGCCTACTTACAACCAGATGAGGATGATGATGGGCTCTAGCTGCAGTCTGGCTCCACTGGTCTGGTGTAGAACAGGCTCTCTGGAGGCGGTTTGTAACTGTGGTCACAAAAATCAATGTTCTGGGAGAACGGGAAGCAGCTCCATTTTTTGGGGGCCCATTACACAGCTCAAGGTCTGGGTCCCATGTTCTACCAATGAGTTTGTTCACAGGGGGTGGAGTGTGTAGGGGATGTCCTGATGTGTGTAAGGAATGCTGCAAGGTGTGTTTCTGTGTATGTACGGGATGCAGTGTGTGTGTGTGTGTGTGTGTAAGGGGTGCATTGAGTGTGTGTAATGAATGCATTGTGTGTTTCTGTGTGTGTAAGGGATGCATTGTGTGTAAAGGTTGCATTGCTTGTGTATGTGTGTGTAATGCATTGTGTGTTTTTCTATGTGCAAGGGGTGCATTGTGTGTGCATACAGAGCTCGGCCACGCTACAGTGAGGGAGTGACAGGAGGGAGCGCTGAGCGCTTCCCTCCTGTCAGCCCCTCTCCTCATGCTGTGCCCGGGCGATGCGCCCTCATGGACGCACCAGCCCGGGCAAAGCTGCAGCCGCCTGCTGTAGCGCTCGGGCGGCTACAGCATGAGGGAGGCCGGCGCTCCTGGCGGCGCCCCTTCCCAAGGGACGCCCTAGGCAACTGCCTAGTCCGCCTAACAGGTAGCGCACTTACTACAAACACACTTCATTCATTGTACACACTCTGCACTCATTACAAACACACTACATTCACTATACACACTCTGCACTCACTATGCACACACTACATTTACTATACATACTGCATTCATTATACACACTCTGCACTCACTACAAACACACTACATCCACTACACACACTACATTCATTATACACACTCTGCACTCACTACAAACACACTACATTCATTATACACACTCTGCACTCACTACAAACACACTACATTTATTATACACACTGCACTCACTAAAAACACACTACATTCATCATACACACTGCATTAACTACAAACACACTACATTCATTATACACACTTGCACGCACTACAAACACACTGCATTCATTATACACACTCTACACTCACTACAAAAACACTACATTTATTATGCACACTGCACTCACTACAAACACACTACATTCATTATACACACTGCATTAACTACAAACATACTACATTCATTATACACACTCGCACGCTCTACAAACACACTGCATTCATTGTACACACTTTGCACTCACTACAAACACAGTACATTTATTATACACACTGCATTAACTACAAACACACTACATTCATTATACACACTTGCACGCACTACAAACACACTGCATTCATTATACACACTTTGCACTCACTACAAACACAGTACATTTATTATACACACTCTGCACTCACTACAAAAACACTACATTTATTATGCACACTGCACTCACTACAAACACACTACATTAATTATACACACTGCATTAACTACAAACATACTACATTCATTATACACACTCGCATGCTCTACAAACACACTGCATTCATTGTACACACTTTGCACTCACTACAAACACAGTACATTTATTATATACACTGCACTCACTACAAAAACACTACATTTATTATACACACTGCACTCACTACAAACACACTACATTCATTATACATACTCTGTATTCACTACAAACACACTACATTCATTATACACACCCTGCACTGCACTAATTTAAAAAAAAAACATTTTTAGGGGAGAGGGGAGAGGGGGTGCAGGAATCTTGGGTGAGTTCCCACACTTTTTTCCCCAGGACTTGAACCCTGACTGGAACACCCTGGGAAGCTGATTGGAAGACTGGCGCACCCTAGTTTGGCAGCCACAAAATTCTCTAATCACAATTCTGAAAAATAAGGTCTCTGTAAAATCACAAAGGAATAAATTAATAATTCATTTATGAAGACCTTTAATAAGTTCTAAAAAAGTTGAGAAAATAAAAGGCCAGACAAATTATCCAATTATTTTATAGGGAATTTTAAGATGAATTATCAGAACAACAAGTCAGTGTATTCTCAATACCCACACTTAACGAAGATTCATGCTATGGCCTCAATTTAATAAGCTTTCCACATTATTCAATACTGTTAGAAAAACTTTCAAAATAATTTATCTACAGAAACCACGATTAAAGTCTATTGGACTTTTTGCTGATAAATCATTTAAATGGTTTTTCTAACCACGTTGAATCATTTCAAAAGTTTATTAAATTGAGGACTTTTTTTTTTTTACAAATTACAGACCTATCTCTTTCATAAAGCAAAGTCACAATTCTATTTTAACATTTTAGCAGCAAGATATAAAAATAATAATCAGATCGAACATAGCTTGTCCTAGCAGGAATGAGATACAAAATTAAAACAAGAATAACAAATGTAGGCCTTGCTTTAATATTTTTAATATGCTTTTTAAATGACTTTGATTTTTGAATAGATTTTTTTTTAAAATAAATAAAAAATATTAAAATATCAAAAATATAATAAAATATATATTAATATATAAAGATATTTAAATATTAAAAAATATTAAATACTTATAAACGTTGATCCAAAAATATTAAATCAAGGCCAAATTATGATAACCAGGATCACTGTGGTCTTCACTGGAGGGGATTTGTAGCAGAAATGCTAATAAAGTCCTTGATTTAGTTAACGTTCCAAATGATTCAGTACTGTTAGAAAAACTTTTCAAATAATTTATCTACAAAAGTCACCATTAAAGTCTATGAGATTTTTTTGTAGATAAATCATTTGAAATGTTTTTCCTAACAGTTTTCAATTTGGAAAGCTTATTAAATCGAGGTCAAAGTTTGGATTATTTGGAAATATCAAGTATATAAAAGTCATAGCTATTGAAATTGTTGGTATGCAGTGGATTGGCTTCCGGTGACAATAGCTGTTATATTTATCTCGCCTTTTTCCAGCGTCATGCCTTGAATTACTGTATCTCTGTGGGAAGCGTTCAGCGTCTCCATGCAGAATGTCAGCTGCACTGATTTAGGAAGCACCTCTAGTGACCATCTGAGTGACTGCCACTAGAGCTGTCCCTAGGTATTAATGTAAACTCTGCCTTTCTCTGATAAGGCAGTGTTTACATTTAAATAAACTTCAGGGACAGGTTATAGACACCAGAACAACTGCATTAAACTGTAGTTGTTTTGGTGACTATATTGTCCCTTTAAGGAATATATAATTATATAAAATACTTTGTAGCGAGAAAGCACAATTTGTAGAAATTAATATGTGAAAATGTTTAAAAGACTGCATAATATCTTGGTGAAGTTTAAAAGAAAATGATATATAGGATAATATATAATTTTTTCCACAAATTGCATCTACAGAAAACAAAATAGTTGACAATGCACCCACAAGTTTAATCTTGACATGGCAGGTGAGCTTACACGTTAATGAGCTTTGCAATGGCACCAAAATGTGGATAGAGATTTTGGATAGAGCGCAATAAAAATGTTTGGCTTTGTTTTATGTATTTGGGCAGATAAATACTATAGCCATTACTGTCGCCAAGAATAGTGAGAGTTTGAGGGTTATTTCTGTGTGTTTTATTAGATTATATAGAATATATCTCCAATGAATTTCATCCAGTGGTTTGCTGAGCCTGATAAGAATTTTAGTCCACAATAACTCGTAACTGTGTCCTTTACCCACCTGCACCACCTCAGCATTAAAGGGACACTATAGTCACCCAGACCACTTCAGCTCAATGAAGTGGTCTGGGTGCCGGGTCCCTCAGGTTTTAATCCTTCAGATGCAAACATAGCAGTTACAGAGAAACTGCTATGTTTACATTTGGGGTTAATCCAGCCACTAGAGGCGCATCTGCGATGCTGGAGGCATATTTCGCCTCCATCGCGCAGAGCGTCCATACGTCCGCTGACGTCGGACGGGGGAGCTGACCTCGGCGGGGGGAGGAGAGGTCACCAGCGCCGAGGGAGCCCGGCGCTGGATTAAGGTAAACTGCTGAAGGGGTTTTAAGCCATTCAGCGCCACAGGAGGGGGACCCTGAGGGCACTATAGTGTCAGGAAAACTGCTATGTTTTCCTGACACAATAGTGATCCTTTAACAAAACAAAACAAAAAAGTTGTGCTGCGCACAAATTGTATGAGTTTGTAAAGCAGTTGCCAGTTCTTCAGCTAATGAAAGGTGTGTTTATTTCCATAAGCTGAGGGTGGAGAGCAAAGATGTAGCAACCTACACACGCTGCTC